CCCCCCCAAACCACAGCACACACAAAGAAAAAAAAAGTCTCTTCTCATGTTAGATTATTTTACTATAAAGTTATATGACTAGATATGTTTGATTTGTACTAGCAAATAAGTATGCATGTTGATATTTTTGGCCAAATCTTATTTAAATAGAACTATAAAAGTCGCCGCTTTATCTTTGTCTTTCTTTCTTTATTTAATACTTCCATTACTAAAAATGGTGTTAAAATAAAACTTTGAATCGTAGATATCTAGTAGAATCATGATCTGCGATGCCCATTTGTCCATTTCTTATGGTATTTGTGAATCAATATTCAATAAAGTAAGATCATTCTGCTCATCGCCAAAATGGTCAGTCCATTATTGCATGGAATCTGATTCGTTCCGTTTCACAATGCGGGTATGGGAGTGTGGTATGACGCTCATTAGGAATTGGGTATGAGGGGGATAGGCTTACGTTGTAATATTGTATGCTAGGGACCTAGGGTATGGGGTAGTTTGGTGCGCCATAGGTTTGGTTCTTATATGTAGGAATTAGAGGTTTTGCAAGAATCAAATTTAAGAAGTATGCTAGTTGATATCACTAATGGTAAAACCTTGATAATCATGTTGCAATAAGGTATGCATACTGTATTTGCTTTATTTCTCACATTTTTTTGTTGTTTATTCTCTGAGAAAGAGTTTTTTCCCCTTTAAAATTATGTTTGGTTTGAATTATAAATGGTCATTGGAGTTGGTGAATTGGGTTGTGTTCGTGAATCTGGGCCGATTGAACCTGGGTTGTTGTTCGCCATAGCGTCCTAAGTTCCCAAGTTCTATAGGCCAATACCTTTTTCCCTTTCTTGGTTCTTGAGATTATTGTATCTTGACTTATTATTACCTTTTGGATGTGGTCATTGATATTGGCTAAGAAGGTGATTAGGAGTTTTAATCCTACTTGATTTTTGTTGTTGAACTAAGAAACAAACTTCTGTTCTTTAGTTTGTTTGTATAAATAGAGATTTTGTAAGTTTATTTGGTCGAAAAGAGAGATGAGTTTTACCTATCAAGTATAAGACGATCTTTCTGGATGGCTCTCTAGTCTCCATTTTCACTTTGGAATTTTGCTTCTTTGTTGTTTGTTTATTTTCAACAAAGTAGATCCTTCAAGGAGCTAAATGGTAGAAAAGGTGTCATGTAGCTTACACCATAGTTTTAGATGATGACTTTGTTGTTTTTGTTGATTCTGTTCTTTATACATCTCGGGGTAATTATTGTCTGCAGTAGTTCAGTTTTCTTCTTTTTTAAGATAAAAATTGGCAAACTGGCGTGCATGTGGATCATTATCTCTATAGCTTTTTAGAAACTTTAACAATGAGGAAATTGAACCATGCTCATTTCCTACAAGTAGTTAATCTCCCTTAAAACGATCAGAGTTTGTTTTACTTCATTCCTCATTTTGAGATCTCTTCTTAAATGTATTTAATTTGTTCATTTTGTTTGTTCAAACATGCCTTCGTCTACTTCTATATTTGCCAAAGTGGTATAAACATCCTTTGTAGTTTATTTCATGTAATGCACAAATATTTATTCAACTTCCGTTTCATTTGGTCAAGATGACAATTGGAGATTTGGTCGAGTACGACCAAAATCGCAAGTGTCCATAGAGTTTTGAAAATTTTGTAGTATGCATAAAATATTTTTTGTAAGGCGATAATTTGTGATTTGGTTTAAATCAGGAACAATCTTGTATTGTAGCAATTATGTGTTATAGTTCGTAGAAATTCAAGAATTTTATAAAACAGAATATTTTACTAGGATGGAATTTATGATTTGGCCAAAAGCTACGAATTTGAAGGTTATATTTCTACAAAAAGTAGAGAATTTTGCTTTACATTTAAATTATTCTATGCAGGACTGATCTTGTGATTTTGTTGAAAACTATTTAAAATCCATGCGTGTCTATAGAAATTCGGGAATTTTGGAGTATGCACAAAATTCTCAGGGCTTTTTATGATTTGGTTGAAAATGGGAAAATTGTGGGTCATAGTTCGTAGAAATTTAGAAATCTTGGAGTACAAAAAATATTTTGTGTGAGATTACATTTCGTGATTTTATCAAGAACAATCAAAATCATGGGTTATAATCCACAAAATGTCAATAAGTTTTGAGTACTCAAAATATTATATGCTAAAATTTGTGATAGCGGTTGAAAACGACCAAAATTCATGGGTTACACTTCTCAAAATTTTTCTTTATGCGCGACATTAATGTGTGATTTGGTGAAAGAATGGCTACAATCATGAGTTATAGTCCAATTGAAATTTGAGAATTTTTTACCGCATAACTACTCGTAAAATACTTTATGAGTGATGACAATTTGTGATTTGGACGAAACAACAAAATATTCTATGCGAGACGAGAATATGCGACATGATAATTTGTGATTTGGTCAAAAAAACAACCAAAATTATGGGTTATAGTCACATAAGTTCAGAAACTTTAGAGTATTCTATATGTGATGATAATTTGTAATTTGGTTGATAACGTTAACAATCGTGGGCTATAAGTCTAAAGAAATAAAAAATTATAGGCTATGCATAAAATATTCTATGGTTGATGGCTATTTGTAATTTGGTTGATAACGATCAAAACCATAGGTTATATTTCATAGACAACTAGAAACTTTGGAGTACACATGAAATATTCCATGCAAAACAGAGAATGGCGATATGATAAAAAACAACCATTATCAAGAGTTGTAGTTCATAAAAATTCAAGAATTTTGGAGGACGCATGCTACATTCTACATACGTCAATATGTGAATTGGTCTTAATCGACGAAAATCATGTTTTATAGTCCATAGGAATTCGGAAATTTTGGAATATGCATAAAAATATTCTATGGAAGACGAAGAATTGTGATTTGATAAAAAAACGATACAATCAAGAGTTGTAGTCACAAAAATTGGAGAATTTTCGAGTACACATAATACATTCTATGTAGGATGTTAATATGTGATTTGATCGAAAATGACCAGAATCATGTGTAGTTGACAAAAATTCATTTTTTAAGTGCATGTTAAATACTTTATGCAAGACGACAACTTGTGATTTGGTCAAAACTGACCAAAATCGTGGGTTATAGTTCACAACAATTTGAGAATTTTCGAGTACATACCAAATATTCTATGCGGGATGAAACTTGTGATTTTGTTAGAAACGATCAAAATCATGAGTTATAGGTGAATAAGATTAAGATATTTTGTAGTATACATAAAATATTCTTTGCGACACTACAATATGTGATAGGTCAAAATAGGCACAACCGTGGATTATATTCGACAAAAATTCATGAATTTTGGAGAACGCATAAAATATTCTATGTAGGATTTAGTATAGATATATGTGATTTGATAAAAAAGTGTCATAGTCACGTGTTAGATTTCACAAAAAATCAGGAATTTTGGGCACGCATGAAATATTTCTATAGGGACGGTAACATGTGATTCGGTTGAAAATGCAAAACCGTGGATTATAGTCCATAGAATTTGAGATTTTGGAGTACACAAAGTATTTTATGCGGGATAACAGCTTGGGAATTGGGATTTGGTCAAAGATGGCTATAATCAAATCCTACAAAGCCACTCCACACTGCTTTCCATAATAATGCTTGTATGTTTTTTCTTGTGTGAAATCGTGTTTTGTTAGATAGGGTTTCCTGAAATGAAAATTTTTAGCCACTGTTTTTTTTCCCCTTTGTGATCTTTGGATTATCATCCATAATCACACAGTTGATTGGTTTCCTGAAATGAATTGCTTGTGCACACTAAAGCTTCCATCATTGGTAATAAATGAGTATGAATATTCGAATACCCCTGCTTTAGTATATGTTTCTTTATAATCGATTTGCTTGTGCACGCTAAAGCACCTCCTCTTTGGTAATCTTATTATTTTTTAGCGAATTTCTCGATGATGGTTCAGCACAAAGTTACGACTGATTATTCTGTAGCACTCTCCCTATAAAATGTATATTAGTTCCGTGACAAAAATTGTGCCAAAGTTACGACTGATTATTCTGAAACATTTGAAATAAAATTGCACCCATTAAGTGTGTGATGCCCTTTTTCTGTGATTGACCAATTGATTTACTAATGCCTTTCACTTTGATGCTCTTTCAGCTCTCTCACATGCACATAAATTGTTGGTGACATTTATGCTTTCAAGTTATTCATTTGATATTCCCATCTGTTCTTTTCCCCCCAAGATGACGGTTGTGTTTGTGTATGATTCTGTGCACCATGCATTCAGGGCAAAATTCATCGATCCTCCACTATCGAATGATACTTCTCTTCTATCTTTCTTGTTTTCCGAATTTTTTTTCTTACTAGTTAATTTGTTTATGTTGTTCGACTGTAGAGTGGGATCCTTGGGGTGTTCCCGAAGATTATGAATGTGAAGTGATCGAGGATGACTCCCCCATTCCTAAACATGTTCCTTTTCATCGATCTCCACCTCTTCCAGAAGAATTTCACAAAACGCTAGAGGCTATTACTTCAAAATCTCGTCCAGACGAAGCGTCCTCCACCGACTCTAAAGCCTGATTGAGGGTAGTTCTTGTTTCACCTTCAAGAAACGCCGACTTTTGGAGAATTTATTGTGCTTTCTGTTTGTACTGGCTATGCTGCCTAGAAATTACTGTATGTCATGAACAAGCTGGCCTCTCTCATTGTGAAAGAATAATGCTTGGCTGGAATGGTACTTTTCTCGAAGAATTTGACCATCTTTTATAAGTTCTCTCTCATGACGATGACAGACATTGGAGGGCCATAGGTTGATTTTTATTCTTGATAAACCAATGTTTACTTATTTCATCGGTCTTGTTTCCGGTATGGATACATTCAAGGCATGAAGGCATTTCAAGCGATGTTTTGGTCGGATTATTCTTCTTTTTTGTCTACCATCAAGAATCTCTCCGTATTTGGGCATGATCTTCTTTGTTGTTTACTACCAAAATCCTCAAGCAAATAGTACTCTTGAGGTTTTCATTCGACTTCATTTTGTTTTTTGCGTGGTTATATGCTCACATAATTTCTTTTCTTTAACTTTAACTTAGATATGATCTGATGCAATCCATGAGTACGGACCACCGATCCCACGCTGTGATGGGTTTTGAGGACTGTAGGGTTGAATCTTGATCAGAACGTTTTAGTCTTGCGATAGCTTTAATCCATCATAAACCTATTTGGTTCCTTTTAATCACTTCTGATGAACTTTTGGTTGCCTAAAACATTACGCCTTTCTTTGTGACGTATTTAATTTTTAAAATCTCATGTGAGCCCCGTGCACTGTAGCAAGAGAGGTGGTGTGCTTTGGAGTGTGGTAGAGGGTGTGCCTCTATCATTATTTATTAATAATTTACCCAGAATATTTAGTATCAATATAAGATTCAACACAAAAGAGTGATTTCGTTATTATCGACAATTTACCCAGAATATTTAGTGTCAATATGAGATTTAACATAAAAGAGTAATTTCGAGAATAATACAGATACACAAGATTGCATAGAAGAGTAATTTTGATAACACAAATATAACTCAATAAGCTTTTGACAATTAGCACCTGCTTCATTTCTCCTTCAAAATCCCCTACTTAATTTCTCCACCCCAAAACCTTGAACCATTATTTAAAATTTTAAAAAAAAAAGTTTAAAAATCAAGGGAAATTTGGAGGGTTTTGAGGACCAGAAGGACCTTGGTCCAGTCCAAACTGCTGACTATCATCCAAGCCGTACGGGTGATTCTCAAGCTGTACTTGGTTCTGTTGTCGGTGCTGCTGTTGCTGAGCACTGTGCAGCGCAATCTGAGCCTGAGTCTCTGCGAGCTCGGATTGCACCGCGTAGATTTGCTGTTGAAGTAAAGAGATGACTCCGACGCTGCCATAGACCGGATCTCTCACTCGCCAGTAGGCCTCCGATGCGATCGCGTCCGCCGCTTGGCCGCGTTGCTCCACAGGGAGGTTCTGCTGAAGGGATATTTTTTTTTTGGTGTTGAAATTACTTAGAAATAATTATAGGACGTTAAGGGATTAGTTTATAAATCCCATCACAAACAAGAGGGCCAATATTAAAGATGGCTACAGAGATAACAGAGATACAGCTGCCCTGACAAGCAGTCTAGTGGTCGGGGCTTAGGGTCTTGGCTCAAAAGACTAGACGTCGATTCATGTCTATGACATACCTGTCGCTAATTTCTAATTATCAGACATTTCAACAATTGTGCTATTCATATGGACCTGGAATGTGAAAGGGGGGCCCAGCCTTGGGACATGTATGGTCAGTACTAACTACAAGGTTTACCTGAGCCTGAATTGCGAAAGAAGGGCATCAGGGTTTACTTGGTTGGCACTAATAAGCCTTGCCAAGATTTGCGCCAAGAAAATAAATGGAAGGGAAACAAAAAAGAGAAAACACGTATCTAATTAATTGTATGTAGTGTATATATGTATCTAAAGTTCTAAAATTGTATTAGGAGGTAAAAATTGAGTTCCTTCTATTGATAAGGAGTCTGTATATAGTTGTTTGTACATGTATCTGAAGTTCTAAAATTAGCATTATGTCCACGTTATTTCACTAATGATGATTATGTAATTGAACTGTCATTGTTATATCTGTATATAGTTATAGTACATACTACATTATGGCTACATAATTCTATACTTGTACATACTTTAATATCTAGTATCTTCATTAGCTATTAACCAAACCTGCATAAAGCATGATCTTTTACTACAAACATACAAGATAGCTTACTATACTCTAATGCACATAATCATTACATTACCGATGACCAACTTTACACAATCCAGTTTCATATCATTTTCTCCATCCAATTTTAAAAGAATTTAGTAATGGATGTGAGAAGGGCTTGAAAACTTTCTTCCCTAAGAGTTCTGATCAGGTATTAAGAAGGTGATAATAAAAGAATTTGTTGATTGGTTAAATTATAATTTTCTTTTTAAATTTTCGCTATCTGCTCGTTGATGTGATGATGTCCCAATTATTTCTGCACTTGTTAATGAAGAAGTGAAAAGTTGTAAAACATGGGTCTGCGTAATTTGGGAAGAATATGGTATCTAAAATTACAATCGAGTAAAATTATTATTTAAGGACCTCTTTATTATACACCTCACCTGCAACATTCTTCTGACATTGCTAGCTCCGAATATTCTATGAACAGAAGCAAATCTTTCAGGATGTGATGCAGGGAAGTAAGGAGCCAAAACACAATCCTCAGCACATCTCCTCCTCAGGTACTTACAAGCTGCACATCGTGTTGAATTCGACATAATCTTAGCTTCGAAGATCCTCTCTATCTAAGATAAAGATTTTATGAATGTTTTTGAGAGATTTTTGAAGATATTGGAAATCTAATTGAATCTTTAATAGAGATATCAATAACTGTAGAGAAGAGGACGTAGCTGTTGAATCCATAGTTGGAAAGGACAACGGCTAGCAAAATTCAAATTGTTTGGAAAAAAATAAAAATAAAATGGTAGGTTTATGAGGAAATTGATGAATTACGAGTTACTTAATCTGGTTGGAAAATTGGTCTCGGGCTTTATAAGCCTCCGACTTGCTAAAACAGCGGTACACGAAAGCTGCTCAGGCGGCGGTGACGAGCCGAGGGGTCTGCTGTCCGTGCGGTTCACGATAACCCTCCTACCTCCTCCGCCACAGAAGTCCCATAGATATTAGATGCTCTCAGATAGCTATATAGGTTACTAATAAGATGGTGAATCTGTGAACTAATTTCTATGCATATGGGTAGCCAGTTCTTCGTATCGGAAGTATCGATTCATTATCGAACCAGGTCTGAGATTGTGAACAAGGGTTCTTATGTGGAATAATCTTTGATCGGTATATATGCACGTTTCGTCACCCGATGAAAATTTAATTGGGAATTAGCATCAGGTCAAAATTTTCAGGGTGAGCTCAAGAGCACTTGATCTCCGTTAAGTGTAGCTTCGAGTTTTTACTGTAGTTGCACCTGTTGGTAGTAGGATGAGGTCTAGACATGGGTTGAAACCTATTCAATTCAAAAGAAATATTATTGTAGCATTTTCAAAGAAATATTACTGTAGCATTTTCAAAGAAATCACTGTTCATGCTATAGTAATTTACTGTAACATTGTTACTGCAGCATTTTCAAAGAAATATTATTGTAGCATAAGTGAGATACCGTAGCATTCTTTAAAATATTACTGTAGCATTTTTAAAAAATATTATTGTAGCAAAGTTGGGGTACTGTAACATTTTAAAAATACTGTAGCATTAAAAATATCGTTGTGGCATTAAAAATACTGTAGCAGCTAAAAACGAAATTGGGATTACTGTAGCGATAAAAAAAAGAAGGTCGTGCTTCGCACGAAGCGCACACTTGTATATATATATATATATTGCTAAACTTTAGCATATTTGCTATGAGGGTAATAGTAAAATCGACTCATTTACAATTTGATAGCTTTCAACATTTGGAAAAAAAAAATGCATGTATGATAAATTGACTTCAACGTATAGTTTGTTATAATGGATCGACTAAAAGCAACATTCTTAATATTGCAATAATTTGCCCAGAATATTCAGAGTCAATATTAGGATTTAACATAAAAGAGTAATTTCAATAAGACATGTACATAAGATGGCAAAATGAGTAACGATATTGCAAATATAATTCAATAATACCTACTTCATTCCTCCTTCCAAAACCTCCTTTCACTACTAAGGAAAATAAATCAACGGAATTTTAATGACTGGTGAAAAAAATATCAGATACAAGATTGCATAAAAAAGTAATTTCAACAATACCAATCTACTCAATAAGCTCTAACAACTGAATCCCCTACTTTATTCCTCCATCCAGAAAACCTTGAACCATTATTCAAAAGAAAAAGTTAAAAATCAAGGGAAATTTGGAGGGCTTTGAAAACTAGAAGGACCTTGGTCCAATCCAAATTGCTGAGTATTATCCAAGTTGTACTGATGATTCTCAAGTTGTACTTGGTTCTCTTGTTGGTGCTGTTGTTGCTGAACACTGTGGAGTGCAACCTGAGCTTGAGTCTCTGCGAGGTTAGATTGCACCGCATAGACTGGATCTCTCACTCGCCGGTAGGCCTCTGACGCGATGGCGTTCGCCCTTTGGTTGAGCTGCTCCACAGCTAGGTTCTGCTCAAGGGAAAAAAAAAACTTTGAAATTACTCAGAAAAATAATTATAGGAAGTTAATAGGTTAACTTATAAGATCTCATTACAAACAACAGAACAACTATTATTATCTTTGATTTTTATAATATAGATACATATAACAGAGATATTACTACGCCCACAAGTAGCCTAGGGCTAAGGGTCTTTGCTCAAAAGATTAAATATTGATCCATGTCTATGACATATCTGTCACTAATTTCTAATTATTATGTATTGCAACACTTATGCTATTCATTTGGACCTAGACTGTGAAAGGAGGCCTCAGGCCTTGGGATTTACATTGTTGGTACTAACCCCGGAGTTTACCTCAGCCTAGACTATGAAAGAGGGGCCTCAGGGCCTAGGGCTTATTTGGCTGGCGCTAACACTTGCTAAGATTCGCATGAAGAAAAGAGGGAAGGAAAAAAAATTGTATAGAGATAACACGTATCTGATTAATTGTGTGTAGTATGTACATGTATCTGAAGTTCTAAAATTGTATTAGGAGGTAAAAGATGAGTTTCTTTTGCTGATTAATTGTATGTAGTATGTACATGTATCCTCAACAGAACCAAAGGTCAGTTATAAGCCCTTATCTTTTGACATTAGTTATGAATCAACTTACTAAGCACATTCAGGATGAAATCGCTTGGTGTATGTTATTTGCCGATATATAGTATTAGTTGATGAAACTAGAAGAGACATTATTCTAAAGTAGAAAGATAGAGATAAGCCCTTGAATCTAAATGTTTTAGAATTAGTAGAACAAAAACAGAATACATGGAGTGTATTTTTAGTAAAACTAGCAAAGGAAGAGAGCCTATGGTACATACTGATGGCCAAGAAAAACCTAAAATTAATTATTTTTGCTATTTAGGATCATTAGAAATGATGGTGAGATAGATGATGATGTTGTGCATCGAATCAAATCGAGATGGTTAAAATAAAAGAGTGTTTCGTGAGTCTTATGTGATCGTAGAATACCAATAAAACTAAAGAAAAAAATTCTGTAGGACGGTTATAAAATTAACTATGCTTATGTGATCATAGAATACCAATGAAACACATAATTTATGTGGTTCACTTCTCGATGAGAGAAGCTATGTCCACGGCCGTCGCAGGTAAAATTTCACTATGTTCTGAATTGTTTACAAGCTGCGCCCTAATAACCATTTTATAGCTAGGGTATTAGTGCGACTTAAAATTACATGTATACCCTTGGGGAAAAAATTTCTCGGGGGCTACTGCCCCTGAACCCCCCTTCGGGCAAGGGGCTACCGCCCCCCCTGCAACCCCCCGTCGAACTTACCGCGAAGTTCGATCCGCGCAGTTAGGGTTCTGACGACTCGATCACTTAAGCGAATTAGGCCGGGTCTGAAAAATTAGGCTCCACATAACCTAATAGTAGGCATATCATAATTCCTATGCACTACTATTATATTTTATAGGGGGGTATCTACAGATATATCCCTAGAAACTTCCAAAGTTGCAAATTTACTCCCAAATCTTGGTTTTGCAAAACAATCTCTCATTTTCTCACATGGAGATTTTCTATCCCTCACTTAATAGTTGTAGGCTTTAAAAGAGAAACTATTGCAGCCTCAATGGAAATTATTGACTTCTTTTAGCATTGTATTGTTTAGAACTCAATATTGTTAAGTTGGAGGTGTATAAAAACTCAATGTGAAAGAATTATAGGGTAATATTGCAAATAAAGTTAAGGGAAAAAATTGCAAATATGAAATATTTAAGAGGTATATATATGTAACCCCTTTATGCATTATGGCTCCCTCCATATTGCAAGGGGTCAAGAGAAGGATTAAGAGGCTTTAACTTCTTTGTAACCTTTCAAAGAGGTTAGTTTGGCTGAAGACTTAGGCTCTGTTTGGCAAAACTAGCTGAAAGCTGCGAGATTATAGCTGAAAGCTGTTAAGCTAGCTGAAAGCTGTGAAATTGTAGCTGAAAGCTGTTAGCTGTGTAGCTAGCTGATTGACTAGAGCTGTTTGGCAAAAGTAGCTGTGCAACTAGCTTAAATTTGTTAAATGACTAAAAAAGACATGCAATATTATTGATATAAAATTAGAATTATTAGGGGCAAAAACGAAAGAAAAAAATTGGCAGCTCCTTCCCAAAGACAAACGCTACTTGAGGTAGCTTTCCAAAAGCTACTTGCAAAAGACACAATCTCGAAAATAATCTCCTCCTATTTTTGGTCACCAAACAGCTCTACTAGCTTATTGACCAAGTCAATAAGACACAAGCTCTTAGGTAAGATACTTTTTTTGGTTGCCAAACAGTGCCTTAACACTTTATAAGTGTTAAAAATAGTCACCTAATATCATGGTAACTAATTTAAGATATTTATGACAACTAATCTTTGTAGGTATTCTTTATTTCTCAAATAAAAAAATCCAGCGGATTGAAATTATTTTTACTCCTCTTGAAAGGTTAACTAAATTAATCATTCTCACCAAATCTTAATGTGTCGTAAATTTTATGAGCTTTGTTGTCACCAAATCTTTGTTGCTGCCATGATGAACTTTATAAGTGTTAAAAATAGTCTCCTAATATCATGGTAACTAATTTAAGATATTTATGACAACTAATCTTTGTAGGTATTCTTTATTTCTCAAATAAAAAAATCCAGCGGATTGAAATTATTTTTACTCCTCTTGAAAGGTTAACTAAATTAATCATTCTCACCAAATCTTAATGTGTCGTAAATTTTATGAGCTTTGTTGTCACCAAATCTTTGTTGCTGCCATGATGAACTTTATAAGTGTTAAAAATAGTCTCCTAATATCATGGTAACTAACTTAAGATATTTATGACAACTAATCTTTGTAGGTATTCTTTATTTCTCAAGTAAAAAAATCCAGCGGATTGAAATTATTTTTACTCCTCTTGAAAGGTTAACTAAATTAATCATTCTCACCAAATCTTTATGTGTCGTAAATTTTATGAGCTTTGTTCTCACCAAATCTTTGTTGCTGCCATGATGAACTTCTTACCTTTTTTTAATTACATAACTAGATTTGCGATTAAATGATGATGAAATAAATTTACCGTTACATAAAATTTTATACATTTGTCACAGTTTGAGTTTGAAAAAAACTTATTATCTTAATAGTAAATAAAATCCGTGCATTGCACGGGGTTGAAATTAGTTAGATAGATAAATCCTTGATTTCTTTTAAAAATTAATTTGTGTGTCTGTAACCCCGAGGACAACTAGGAAGGAGTTTGGACGGAGGGCTCTGATAACTCGGTTTCATATAATAAGCAAAGATCTATCCAGTTTGACAGTTTTTGAGGATTGAAGGTGTTAATTACCTGTTTTGCACTTTGTATTAATAAATAAATAAATATAAATTTTGGAGTACCAAAGCAATGCTCTATAAAATATGCTTTTGACATGAATAAACAAATAAAAAAGTAAATCATATATTTTATTATATCCTTTACCTGCAACATTCTGCTGACATCGGTAGCTCCAAATATTATACGAGCAGGAGCAAATCTTTCAGGGTGTGATGTAGAGAAATAAGGAGCCAAAGCGCAATCTTTAGCACATCTCCTCCTTAGATACTTACAAGCTGCACAGCCAGTTGAATTTGACATAATCTTAGCTTCGGAAGATCCTCTCAATCTAAGACAAATACTTCATGAATATTTTTGAGAGATTATTGAAGATATTGGAAATCTAATTGAATCTTTATAGAGATATTAATAACTACAAAGAAAACTGTTGAAGTTAATCCTAATTCTAAAAGAATTTGAGTTAGTTATATCTAGGAATTATAATCATACTGGAATTCTATTATAAAATACTTTGTAAAGCCTTTAAATAGGTATTCATGCATCCTTCTTCCTAAGAGAAAAAAGACGTGCTGAATACTGCAGCTACAGTAACACCGATAGTTAAAACAGCTTTTTTTTGGCTTCTCATATTAAATCTCTCCTCGTATAAATTATACTTCTATTTGGTTTGTTGTTGATTCCTCCAATAAATAGGATGTAGCTGTTGAATTCATAGTTGGAAAGAACCGAGGCTAGCAAAATTCAAATGGTTTGGAAAATAAGATGGTAGGTTTAAGAGGAAATTTGATGAATTACAAAGTTACTAAATCTGGTTGGAAAATTGGGTTAATCTCCGACGTAGAAGTAAGTTTCCCTAACTTAATAGTTGACAAACGTGTGATAATTAATGGTTATTTAGATGATAGAAGTTTAATTAATTGAACCCTATGTAGGGTGGTTCGGGTCGGTTTGAAAAATTTTCAACCCGAACCGACCGAATATAGTGCAATACTACCCATTCTGATATCAAACCCTACCCGACCCGTCCCCAAAGAGTCAAAGACTCAAACTATGAACTCATTTTCTGGATCATTATGGGTTGAAAACAATATCATTATATCAGTTTTTAATGTTTCATAATCTCCTACTTTGTTGATATTTTTTTCTTTAACACAGTTTGTTGTTTGATAAGAAGCTACTTTGTTGATATTTTTTTCTTTAACACAGTTTGTTGTTTGATAAGAAGTTTGATGAAGTTAGAACCAAACAAACCGAACCGAACCGCACCGAACCGACTTGCAACAGTTCGGTTCGGTTTTGAATTATAGGCAGTTCGGTTCGGTTGTTCAAATTTTGGTAAAAACCGAACCAAACCGATCGTTGCACACCCCTACCTGTAAACACTCCTTCGGAACTACCGCTACATCTGGGACCCCCTGCAGCCGGGGTGTTATTCCGTAAAAGTCCTGACAACATGTATTTTGCATATAAGATGTATTTTGCATATAAGGGTCTGTTTGAATATTTTATTGTAAAATGAGTAGTTAGTTTCTGCAGTGCCATAGAATTGGGTGGTCCAACTGTTCAGCTATGCCGGACAGTTACAGTAACACAATCTTATTTCCTAACTTTTTTACAGAGAATTGCTGACGGTCTGTCAACTTAGCTACAGTAGCTGCCAACTTAATTGTAACACGACCATTTTAACCCACCAAACAGAGGAGTTGGTTGCAAATACTATACCCCTGACACTTCCAGTATTACAACCCAAAAACTCTCAAAACAGTGGCAACCAAACCGACGGTAAATCAGGTTCCACAACCAACATCACAAGTAACTCAAAAGAAGATACACACGAGTATTGCATCTGACTTGCAACAGATCAATTTATTTATTTATTATTATTGACAATTTAGTCTCTTCAAGCTAGTCCTTGAACATGCTGTTTATGAACTGTTCTATTCAATGAGGATGCCTCTAAACTCTGAAATCTTGCAGTCCACCCTTGAATGAAGGAATCCACGATTGGTGGCCTTTCCATTAGATTGCTTGTGATGTACTTCCACGTAATATTAGCTACCAAACTTGACAAGGACACAAACTCATAAGCTTGAAAAAAAAATTAAAATAATAAAAAGGAATAATATACAGTGACAAAGATTCTGAATAGTTTACCAAATTTTACCAAACTCCTTATCCTGTTTAAGCAGCAAGTACACCAGCTTCCGCCGGCTCACAAATTATACAACCACCCAACATGATACTCCTATTAAAAAAAACATGCGAGAGGATGATTCTTATTTTTAGTATAAGAAATGATAGAGGCACACTCTAAGGCATACCACCAACCACACTTCCTCTCTCTCTACAGTGCAGGGGGCCCCACATGTGATTTTTTTAAAAAATCACATGTGAGGCCCCATGCACTGTAGAGAGAGAGGCAGTGTGGTTGGTGGTGTGCCTTAGAGTGTGCCTGTAGCGCTTCTCTTTTAGTATTGAGGTATGTAATTTAAGTTATTAAATATTGTTTTTAAGTCCTCATACCTCATAAGTGTATGCACGAAGTGTTACAAGCTCAGAATTTTAGATTTATGTTTTTGAGTGAAAGAATGCACAACAAATACATAATCTTTTTGTTTCACTAAAGAGAAAATAGTGAAGTATGCAAGTGCAAACTCTATAATTTAAAGTTAATGTTCAACGTGATTGCGACAATAAAATATGACAATATTTATTACATAAAAAATAAGTACATCAAAGAAATTTTATATCTAATTCGAGATGAGCCAATTCTGAAACAGACGGAACAAAATAATCAAGATTCATTAATTTGTTCTTTAATTTTTTTATTGTTAGTTGCATTACTTGAAACTTTGACATTTTTTAATTGATCTACCTATCATTACACCTTAAGTATATACTTCTTCTACATGTAATCCCTCTGTTATTGAATTAAAGTTTAGACTCCATCTTGCATCTTAGAGTAAAGTTTAGGTCTAAATCTGTTATTGAACAAGTTTGGCTCCATCTAGCATCTTAGAAAAAAAAGTTTAGATCTACTAAAGTACAAAAATATCATTAAAGTTGTTTAAATGTGTTGCTTTCAAATGTTGGTCACATGATTTTCCTTCTTCTCAGAAAGAAAACACATAGATCGTGACCAAGTTAATTATTTGAAAAGCTATTTGCACATGTTTTTACATGTAAAAGGTCAAAATGAGTGGGCGTAGTCTTCTGTTGATCGTACAAGGAATCTTAACACTATCATTTTCATGATTATATGAGATTATTGAAGGTGAGTTATCACGTCATTTTGTTAATGAATATATAGTTAAGAAAATTGGGAGAAAAACATTAGGATGTGATCCTTCAATTCAAGATCCAACAATTGACACCAAGTACCCTTATTTTACATGACACCATAGTCTAAACATGATCTCTTTATTAGATTTTTATGCTGGCGCTCCCCAATCGTCTAATCGTTAGAGCTACAGAGTTATCAAAGGACTCAGTGTTTGCCTTCTCCCAAAAAACTGTCCATTTTTTATTCTAACAACTTATCAATATATTATCGCCATCTCTACTAATACATTGAGGGGTTGTTGTCTGGATCTTGCCACGTAGACCTCCAAATTACATGGCACCCCTCGACCATATTTCTTGTAACAAAAAGAGAACCACTTAATTATTATGTTATAGGTGACAAATAAGATGAACCTTCTTATCACAAGTGTATTACGATGCTATAAGTTCATAGCCATTTTTAATTTCTAACCATATTATATTCACTTTCCCTGAACTAAGCAAAAACTTTTAAAAATGATAGAAGTCAAACTTTACTTTATCATCTTGCAAACTTTATCATAGATTCATAAGATCCAATCAAGCTCTCATAATATGTCCACATGCATATGCTTCCCCCCTCGTGTTTCGACCATTAATAAGAGCATAATAAGCTCCAACTGTGCTTCGTAGCAAAAAAGCAAGGCGCCATTAAAGCACACGACCCCTTACTTCTACGTCAAAATTCGTCACTAATTACCACTTAAATTCCTTATAGTTTGTTCTCATTTGCACTCGTACACCCTCATTTGTTTTTGGCAATACCTACATACCCTGAAATTTCTAGAAATGTCATTAAACGTGAAAACTTTCGCCCGAATTCTCCACTGTGATACTCATAACGTAAATCTAGAGTTTTTTTTAAACCCTTATTATATTTGTTGAATTCATTGTTAAACCCACCATAATTCAATTTCATAATACAAGTTGAGTTGGTTTAGAACAAGATTAAGGTATGTTTAATAGTAAGTCCAACAAACATTCATGTTTAAAAATTTCTGAATTGGTTTATACGTGTCCCATGGGAAATTTTGGGGGAAAATCCTCACATTTGTATAATAGAAGGAGTAAATGTCTTATCAGAACTACCCTATTAGAGCGGGGTGGCTTGCAACATATATAAAAGAGTTAAAATTTGCTAAACTAACCCTCCATCCACTTGTAAATAGTATAGATCACCCTGTCTTAGATGGGTGTTCTTATAGAAGCTGCATAATAGAAGGTATTAAAGTTAAAATTTTAGAAACTTTTTAGGTGTATATAAGTGCTACCAAAAGCTGCATAATAGAAGGTATTAAAATTAAGATTTTAGAAATTTAAAGGTGTATAAGTGCATATATGAGATTTTAAAAACTTCAAGGCGTACAAGTGCAAGTGGGGGTATGTAAGCGCAAAATAGGAGAAACTATAAGGTATCAAAGTGCTAATGAGCCTTCGAAAACCGCCGACAACTCGCGCAATTGAGCCGTTTTATTCGTCGCATAATTCATAAAGTTATTAAATAAGCAAACCTAGTTGGGCCCACCAAAATCAACAGTCTAGATTTACTCTTGATCTTATATCAATAACTCCAGGTTCTCGCCCTCTGTATTCACTTTTCTCTCTCTCTTCTATCCAAAAAAAATTCCTTTATTTAAAAAAAAAAAATTATATTTTGGAATTTTCTTAACTTTCTCATTTCTCGATGCAGCCGTATTAGCTGTAAGATCTTTATCTCTCTTTGAATTATCCACTCTCTCACTAGCCCCCTTCTCTCTGTCTCTCTCTAGGGTTTTTGTGAGGAGCGACTGGATCTGCGATGTAAGCCCCCTTCGATCTCTGCAAGATTTGATTGTATTTTACGCTGTGTTCTTCGTCTTGGAATTTCTAGGGTTAGGGTGTTGAATTCGTTGGATTCTAGGGTTTTGAGCTGGGTTTTGCGCTGTGCATTCGCTTTTCTGTTAATGTTGTTCTTGAAATGGTTGGATTTTTGTTAGTTTGTTAGTTACCGGGTGAATTGGGCTCTAGGCGTATTACTGATGGTTTTGATTATGATTTTGTTAATTTTGTGATGTGAGATTAGGATTCTAGGGTTTGGAGCCAAAATTTTCAGGAAAAGGTTGGATTTTGAAATATTTGGCAGGAAAAAGATGCGTTTCATCGGGGATCAAGATCAGAAATTTTGATTGTAGGTTGCTTAATCGTAGAAAAGTTGGGTTTATTGATAGCATAATTCGCTGTTCTTTGCAGGAAGGGTTAGGTTTTCAACGAATGTGTGTGTTTAGAAGATCTGAGGTTGTACGGGATTCAGAAAGGAAAGTATTGATAAAAAAGGAAGAGCAGTCATGGTTCAATTGGATTTTGATAGTTTAAGGGAAAAAGATTTTGCTGTTGATCTCGAAAGCGGCAATAATGCTGTAACCAGTGAGCAAGGATTCACTGATTCTAAAAGGGTTTGGAATGACTTTGCGAGCTCTGAAGAATCAAATAAAAATGAAGAAGTTGTGAGCTCAGGAAATGCTTACTCTAAGTCTGTTGAGACCCCTCTTGAGAATGGAGAATGGGCGAGTCCTTTGTTGGAGAAGCCAAAGAAGAAGAACTGTAAGAAGCCTCCTAAGCCTCCTCGGCCTCCACGAGCTCCATCAATGGATGCTGCTGATCAGAAGTTTCTGATGGAGATGTCTGAGGCTGCAAAGTTGAAACGTGCAAGGATTGAACGAATGAAAGCTTTGAAGAGGATGAAGAATGCCAAGTCCGGATCTTCTGGTAGTAACCTTTTTGGCTTGATTATTACCGTAATCTTCTGCTTTGTGATAATCTGGCAAGGTAAGCATTGTTCATGATTTTGCTAGTATCTTATCTGATTTTGGTCTAGTGTTGTTATTACCTGTGAATTACAAATGCAAGTTTGTGCATGCTATATGTAACAGTGAAAATTCCGATGCCTCATTATCTTCACCAAAATGTTCTCCTCCATGCATTAAGGCGAGTGAACTTATTTTTGCATCTAGTTCCTTCTTAAAATAATTAGAATATTTCTTCAAAGACATATTAAGGATTTTTTCAATTCTTTAATCATTTGACCACAGAAAAGAGAGGAAAAAAACTTTGCATGTACATTTAACGGTAATAATTACTTTCTATGTTTGATGCTCTAAATTTGTATTCTTTTATGAGAGCTATCATATGGATGCTCTTATAACTAGTTAAAACTGTTTTATAATGCTTTGACAGGGATAAACACTTTGTGCATTCTAGTTCTGCTTGCGACTCTCAAGTTCATGTTCAAAGGTTAATCTTTTGGTGTGGCAGCTGCCAGCTATGCATTTCATTATCTGGAACCAAATGTGAAAAATAATAGGTTGTTGTCAAAAGTAGTAACAGTATATGAGGCTTATGTCAGCTCGCCTGCTCGTCTGATCATTTCTTTTTGATGTCCGAAAACGAGGCAATTGTCAAAACAAACATAGGAAAACTATGAAAGAGATAGCATGTCACATGATTTCTTGCATACAGCTTTCAAAGAAAAAAGTACATTGTACTACTTTTTTAGATAGGCTCACTTCAATGGCCTAGAACAGGACTACAGAGGCAATTGTTTAAACAGAGGCTGGAGAACTTAAAATAGATAACATGTCCCATGATTCCTTACATGCAACTTTGATAGCAAAAGTACATTGCACCACTTTTCTGGATAGGTTCTGACCAAAGTAAAAGACTGAAAGATGTGTATTGAACGAAGTGTAGGAGGAACAATGGGTATCAAAGTGTTAGTGACTACTTTAGAGTATCAAAGTGACATGAGATTGAATTTTGGGGTATTAGGTGTTAAAAAAAATACTTAAAATGTTATAAAAGTGAAAAAGGGTAAAGTTTGTGGTACCAAAGTGAATAAGTATTTTTTATCTTATGGAGGTAATCTTACCTATAATAAATGAACATTTTGATTGGGTTCCACATAACTCATTTTCCAAGATTATATTTTACTATCCAACCAAATAATCACCATCATTTTAGGATTCATATGGAATCCAATCCAAAAAATGTTAAAAATTCAAATGGAAGGGTGAGGTGGATGACCACTTTTCACATTGTGTCATAAATACCCAACTTTACAATGAACAATCAAATGGCCTCTAAATCACTAATTATGGTCCGATATGAAATATTTTATGCTTACTATAAAATTTCCTTATTTTTATGGTCTATAACCCATGGTTTTAGCCGTTTTCAACCAAAATAGGTAGTTGTACCGCATAGAGTAAAGACTATGTATTCAATTTTTTTTTAATTTCAATGGACTATAGTCCATGATTTTGACAGAATATTTTATTGCTCTTCGAAATTCTTGAATTTTTATGGACTATAGACCATGATTTTAGCCATTTTCTGTCCACATTACAAGTTGTCTCATGAATATCTTAAGTGTACTCACAAATTGTCGTTCTTCATGGAATATTGTATGTGTACACAAACTTTCTCGAAAATTGGTGAATAATAACCTATGACTTTGGCTATTTTTTACCAAATCACAAGTTGCCATCCCGCGCGGAGTAAATACTGCATACTCATAAATTTCTGAATTTCACTAGACTATAATCCATGATTTTGACCATTTTTAGCCAATATCAAATATTTGTTTTGCATAAAATATTTTATGCGTAATCATGATTTTGGTGTTCTCAATCAAAGAAAGCTATCTATTTTTATAGAATATTCTTACATACTTCAAAATTTTTGAATTTCTATGAACTTCAACCCTTTGATTATTTTTGATCAAATCACAACTTGTTGTTTCTAATAGAATACTTTATGCACGCTTCAAAATTATTTTATGCATGCTTCAAAATTAATCCATTACTTTGCCACTTCAATCAAAACATAAATTGTCGTCCCATATGAAAATATGAATACGTTATTGAATTTAATCACAAATTTTCATCCCTATAACATGTTCTATGCAATACTCCAAAATTCCTTAATTTATGTAGATTATAAGCTATGATTTTGACTGTTTTCAACCAAATCACAAGTTTCGGTCACAAATTATTTTATGCGCACTTCAAGATTAATCCATGACTTTTTCCACTTTCATTCAAAACATAAATTGTCGTTCTATATGGAAATATTTTATGCGTACCCAAAAATTCCCAAATATTTCTGGAAACACATGATTGTGTTGGGTGTGTTTGACCAAATCATAAATTGTCTATTCACAAAATGTTTTATGCTTCTTTGAAATTCTTGAATTTCTTTTAATATATGATTTTGTTCGTTGTCAAACAAATTAGAAATTGTCACTACTTATAGAATATAATATATTATGTGTACTCAGAAATTGTCAAATCATAAATTGTCGCTTTCGACCACATCACAAATTGCTATTACACAAAAAATATATTATTTGTACTTCAAAATTCCTGAAGTATTATGGACTAAGACTCATTGTGGATGTTTTTGAGAAATCATAAATTATCGTCCCAGATAATGACTTCTACGCATATTCCAAAGTTCTCGAATTTCTATGGACAATACCAATGATGTTGACCATTGACCATTTCTGACCAAATCACAAATTTCTGTCCCTCAAAAATTGTTTTACATGTAATTCAAAATTAAACCATAATTTGGCGGTTTTCGACCAAATCACAAATTGCGAATTTCCGTAAACTAAAACACATGATTTTTGGTTGTTTTCTGCCAAATCACAAACTGCCGTGATACATAGAGTATAATATGCATACTTGCAAATTGTTGATTTTTTTGTGAGCTATAATTCATGATTTTGTAAACCAAATCATAAACTGCTGTCAAGCATAAAATATTTTATGCTTACTCCAAAAAGCTCGAATTTCTGTGGACTATTAACTCATGATTTTGCCATTCTTGAACCAAATATCAAATTGCCATGCTACATAGCTTATTTTTTGTGTATTCCAAAGTACTTGAATTTACGTGGTCTATAACTCATGATTGTGGTCATTTTCGATAAGTCACAAATTGTTTTCTTGCATGGAATATTTTACGCGTATTCCGAAAGTCTTGAAATTTTTTTGAACTGCAACTTATTATTGTGGTCGTTGCCAACAAAGTGCAAATTGCCCCCCGGTATAGAATATTTTATGCCAACTTCAATATTCTATATTTTAGCTTATGATTGTGCCCTTTTTCGACTAAATCACAAGCTCTTGAATTTTTTGGACTATGGCTCACTAATGTGGGTGTTTTCCACCAAATCACAAATTGCTGTTTTGCATCATATTTTATATGCGTACTCCAAAATTTTCAGATTTTGTGGATTGTAACCCATGATTTTTGTCGTATCAAACCAAATCACAAGTTTTCAATCCTTATAAGTTAATATACGTGTATTTCAAATTAACCTAGAATTTTTGGCATTTTCGACTGAAACACATTTTTTGAATTTCTATGAACTAGAACACATGAGTTTGACTATTTTGGGCTAAATTACATATTGCGAATGTATTGTGCGTACTTAGAAATTGTTGAATTTTTATGAACTGTAATCAATGATTTTGGCCGTTTAAAATAAGAAACAAATTGCCATCACTCGTAAAATATTTTATGCGTATCTCAAAATTCCTAAATTTCTGAGGGTAGCCTATGATTGTAGCCGCTTTTGACCAAATGAAACATTGCTTGCTTGCGTAGAATATTGTATGCTTTGAAATTCTAAAATTTCTGTGAATTATGACTCATGGTTTTTGCCATTGTAAAACAAATCATAAATTGCTATGCTAGATAGCTTATTTTATGTGTATATTAAAATACATAAATTTTGTGTATTACATGATTGTGGCTGTTTTTGTTAAGGGTCTGTTTGGTTATTTCCTAAAAAACCAAAAAATAGAAATGAAAACCAAGAAATCTCAAAAAGTACAATTTCACACATTTCCATCCCTAAAACTCACCCACAACATCTAATAAAATATTATTTTTATCCAACAACTCATCCACCACATCTAATAAAATATTATTTTCATCTAACAACTCATCCATCACATCCACCATATCTAATAAATTACTATTTTCATCCACAACATCACTCAACTCATCTCATCTCATATTTAAAAATCATTCACATCATCCAATAAGATTGTGACAACTCATCTCATCTCATTAATATTTTATTTCTTTGTTTTCCTCCTAAAAAGCTAGGGAAACAATTTCCTTAAGTGTGAGTCACATCATCCAATAATATAATGACAACTCATCTCATCTCATCTATTTTCTTATTTTTAAGAAATAACCAAACAAAAGAAAACAACCTAATACAAGAAATATGTTTCTTATAATTCATTTTCTTATTTTTTCCGCCAACCAAACAACATCAAAACAAGTTTTCTTAAAAAATCACTCACGTCATCCTATAATAAGGTGACAACTCATCTCATCTCATCTCCATTTCTTTGATTTCCTTCTTTTTTTAGCCAACCAAACAATCCCAAAACCAATTTTTCTTAGAAATAGGTTTTCTTTTCTTTGATTTCCCTCTTTTTTT